GCGGGAGCGGCTCCAGCCTCGGACCATCTCCGTGGCTCCTCTGGCCCCGCTCCAGCAGCTCCGTGTCTGTCCTGTGCTGAGGACCCCAGAGCTGGGTGCAGCACCCTCCTCCAGTGATGGAGGTGTCCCCCCGTTCCCCGGTCCCCATCCCTTCCCGGCTGCCGAGCGGGGGCTTACGGATGCATTGCAGGGTGGTGTGGGTCCAGTCGGGCTCGGCAGAGCCGTCGCGGAGGACGCACTGGATGAGGCTGGACGTACCGGCTTTGCGCTTGTAGCCCGGGTTGCAGGTGTAACGCAGGCGGGCGTTGAGCAGCGTGTTGTTGCCCACGTCGATGTGAGCGTTGGCCACGTCCTTGGGGCGGCTGCATCGCGCTGGGAGTGATGGAGGGGACAAAAAAAAGAGACAGTGGTCACAACAGGGAGATTTGGCATCCTTCAGGCATTGGCTTGTTGTTCTAAATGGTACCCAGAGGGGTCAAATCCTGCCAGGGGATGGGAAGAGGGGATCGGTGCTGTCCCAGGGCTGGGAACGCCTCATTCCAGCTGCAAAAAGACAGCAGGGAGATGGCTGTGCCTGTGCACAGGGGATGGAGAAGGAGAAATACCCATTTCTGGTACATTTGTGGTCATTTTTAGCAGCTCCTCTGGTCAACGAAGCCTTTCTGCAGAATTTCATTCCCCTGCAGCGACTGTCCGGGGCCAGCAGCCCCAACCACATCCCACCGCAGCCGCTGCGTTTCGGCTGCGCTTGCAACCCTCTTTCTTTTTCTTACTTATTTTTCAGCTTGATGTGAAAAATTCCAAGTGCTGTGTGAGTCCTCCAGCCCCTTCCTGGGGTTTCTGCTGCAGCCCGTGGACCCAAAGGTGGCTAAAATCTGAGCGTCACGTGGCCAGGCAGTAGGGCGGTGATGAGCGCCGAGTTTCGGCTTTTTTTGTCCCCAGAAGCGCTTGCAACCCTCTTTCTTTTTCTTACTTATTTTTCAGCTTGATGTGAAAAATTCCAAGTGCTGTGTGAGTCCTCCAGCCCCTTCCTGGGGTTTCTGCTGCAGCCCGTGGACCCAAAGGTGGCTAAAATCTGAGCGTCACGTGGCCAGGCAGTAGGGCGGTGATGAGCGCCGAGTTTCGGCTTTTTTTGTCCCCAGAAAAGCTCATGCCTCCGCTTTGGCCTTCACTTGAGGTCAGTTTCACAAGAGGGTGTTACAATTTCAGTTCTTTTCTCCGGTGCAATGGAGAAAGTTTCTTGGTTCCTCTGAAACTGTGCCTGTGCCTGGACCCCGGCCGCAGCGTGGGAACGGCTCACCCGTGATCCCCCTGCCAGCGCCTCTCACCCCACGTGAGCTGCTGCAGAGAGGTGATGCTCCAGCGCCGGGATGGAGAGATGCACAGCGGGGATAAAGCAACGTACGGCCAGGCTGGAGGGGTCCACAGCTGGGATGGAACGATGCACAGCCAGGATGGATCAGTCATAGAATCACAGGATGGTTTGGTTTGGGTTGGAAGGGACCTTAAAGATCATCCAGTCCAACCCCCTGCCATGGGCAGGGACACCTCCCACTAGCCCAGGTTGCCCAAAGCCTCATCCAGCCTGGCCTTGAACCCCTCCAGGGATGGGGCATCCACAGCTTCTCTGGGCACCCTGGGCCACTGCCTCACCCCCCGCACAGGGAAACATTTCTTCCCAAGATCTCATCTCCATCTCCCCTCTTCCAGCTCAAACCCGTTCCCCTGGTCCTGTCCCTGCACCCCCTGATCCAGAGCCCCCCCAGCTCTCCTGTAGCCCCCTTTCAGCACTGGAAGGTGCTGGAAGGTCTCCCCGGAGCCTTCTCTTCTCCAGGCTGCACACCCCCAACTCTCTCAGCCTGTCCTCGCACGGGCAATGCACAGACGGGATGTGATGCCCAGCTGGGACGGAGCGGTGCCCAGGCGGGATGATGCACATTTGGTACGGAGCGCTGCACGGTTGGGCTGGGATTGGGAGCGGCATGGTGATGGGTACACCATGGGCACGGGAGCACAATGGCACTGAGGACAGAGGGCTGGAGCAGCTCCCGTGCGAGGCGGGCCTGCGT